TTTTTGTTTATTTGATAAGATTGAATAAACAATTGGGGCTATTTTAATAGTTTTACAACTTATGAGATTTTTATGTTTATGAGAAAATATACAACACAAAAATTCCATATCGCATGTCCAAACAAAACGTCAATTTCATCTCATGATACCATATCGCATGGCCAAACGGGCCCTATACATATTGTTGTTATTATTGTTTGAGTTGAAGATGACGTTTTGTTTGATTACACTTTTTCCGAAGGAGAGAAAGACATTTTATTTGGAATTATAAATATAGAGTTGGGAAACATGTTATAAATTCGGAATCCAACTTACAAGTGAAATTTGAAATTTTCACGACCAATCAACCACTGATTCTCAAATAAATTAAAAAATTATTCCAAAAACAAATAAATATTTTTTTTTATGACCAAATGTGTCCTCAAGAGCATATGAAAGCTCTCTACTCATGATGAGTATAAATAACAAGAGCTAGCTAGCTTCTCTACTCATAAAATATCATCCATCTCATGTAATAAACAAAATTGAATTTATTATAATTGAGAAAAAAAATATGCCAAGAGATCCTCTAATAGTTTCTAGAGTTGTTGGAGATGTTGTTGATCCATTCACAAGGTGTGTAGACTTTGGTGTGGTTTACAACAATAGGGTGGTCTACAATGGATGTGCCTTGAGGCCTTCACAAGTTGTCAATCAACCTAGGATTGACATTGGTGGAGATGATCTTCGCACTTTTTACACTCTGGTAAACTCATAATTTTATTTTATATGATATATATATTTTTCTATATAATACATTTTAATATCTCTAGCTGATTAGAATTGTTTAAGCAATTCGCGTAATTGTTGACCTTTTGTCAATTAATTATGAATAGAAGATCAAAAGCACAATATGTGCAAAGGCTTCTAATTATGTGAATTTATGCAAGTTCTAATTTTAATTCACAAGCTAAGTACTTGTTTTATAGTTTTTATTTGAATTTGAGAACTCATAAAATACTATTTATAATAATAAAAAATGTTATAACATGTATGTTTAATATTGCAAGCTTGAAGATATACTATACTTTTAAAGTACTATAGGTCTAATTAAACAATGTTTATATTTAATGGTGTCTAGGTTATTTCATTTTTTATTTTCCTAATTTTGGATTTCAAGATATTTAAAACGTTCCTATCTTTTTGAAAGATTATGGTGGATCCTGATGCTCCAAACCCTAGCAATCCAAACCTGAGGGAATATTTGCACTGGTAAGTCGTTTAGCTTATAAATATTCATTTTGTTCCTTATATATAGTTCTTCCTCCATAGGACGACGTTAATGAAACAACTATCATACACTTCTTATTTCTCTCA